AAGCCATGTTGTCATTAACGACTATGGAAAAGGAGAACAGGAAAACTGATTGTCATGTTGAAGAGAATCTCTTCAAGCTCTCAGTTGTGTTCACAAGACCAAGTCTGCCTGTTACTACCGAAAGTGTCGGGAACCAACAAGATGTCGAAAAGTGGCGATGTCTCTGTGAAGTGAAGATCCCCAATATTAATGCGGATGTCAGCTTGCTCATTGGCTGCGACGCTCCAGAAATCCTAGAGCCTAAGGAGGTTATTCCAAGTCAGAATGGAGAACCGTACGCTACAAGATCCACCCTCGGTTAGGTGGTAAATGCTAGGCAAGGCTACGAACGCTAACATTCGCACTGCTAACTTCATAAAGGCCGACCTGTAGCTAAATGAACAGCTTCAGAGTTACATGGAATTCAACGACTCAGTATACGGTGAAGCTAGATCGATGTCAGCTAACGATAAGCACGCCATGGAGTTAATGAAGGACTCTATCAATCTGGAGAATGGCCACTATTTGCTTGCCCTACTCTGGAAGAACGACCCTCCTTGTTTGGAGAACAAAAGTTCAGTTGTTGACCATTGCCTTAAGCTGCTAAAACGGCACCTATCAAGAGATCCAGAGCTGAGGTCCAAGTATAAAGATTGCATGGAAGACTTCTTGTCGTCTTGCCGTCCAACATGCAGCAAAACCGGGGAAGGTAAGTGTTGTGTTTGACTGTTCCGCCAAGCACCGCAGCAAGTCTCTCAATGACGAACTCTTACAGGGGCCGGATCTTAAAAATCCCCTTGTCGGAGTATTGACAAGATTCCGCCAGGATCCGGTAGCATTTATGTGGAAGCGATGTTCCACCAGGTTCGTGTGAACCCCGAAGACCGCAATGCGTCACGTTTTCTCTGGAAGCCCGCTGGAAATCTAGATCTAGAGCCAGAAGAGTTCATGATGACCGACCATCTATTTGGGGTTGTGTCTTTCCCTAGCTGTGCCAACGTTGCTTTGAAGAAGACCGCAGCAGATAATCAAGTAGATTTCAGTAGTGAGGCTGTAAGAACGGTCGAGCGAAACTTCTACGTGGTTAATTGCTTAAAATCTGTTGATTCAGAAGAAGACACTATCCATCTATCGAGCAAGCTATCACAACTCTTGAAAAGAGGAGGTTTCCGGCTAACGAAGTGGCTGTTAAACATGCGCTAGGTCGTTGAATCTGTCCCTGAGCTGGATCGGGCAGCGTCCGTCAGTGATTTGGACTTCGACCACACCCTTACAGAGAGAGCCCTTGGAGTACAATGGCACGTAGCCTCAGACACGTCTGGCTTTAAAACTGCTACCAAAGATAAACCACCCACCAGAAGAGGAATCTTCTCCGTGATCAGCTCGATCTACGATCCACTCGGCTTTGGGCTCCCTCCCATCTTTCTGCCAAGACTCTCCTTCAAAACTTCTGCAGGAAGCAACTTGGTTGGGACGACTTAATCCCTGAAGAGGATCTAATATGCTGGAAGAGTTGGTTGGAGGAGCTACCTAGACTGGAGCAATTATCTATCGAAAGGTGCTTCAAGCCTCAGAATTTTGGTGATATCATTTCCTGCCAACTCCACCACTTCTCTGACGCCTCTCAGTTCGCCTATGGTGCTGTTTCCTACCTCATGCTCGTTAATGCCCAGCACGAAGTACACTGCCCGTTCGTTATGGGAAAATCCTGCTTATCACCTCTAAAGCCAGTGACCATCCCAAGAATGGAACTGTCTGCCCCTGTGCTCTCCACGAGGCTGGACAGAATGATACGCTAAGAGGTAGAACTCCCTATCAACGACTCCTTTTACTGGACGGATAGCACTTGTGTCCCGCGCTACACCGCTAACAGTGAAAGAAGGTACAAAACGTTCGTGGCTAACCGAGTCGCTGCTATCCGCGAGCAATCCATCCCAAGCCAATGGCATTTCGTGGGAACAAAGACGAACCCCGCTGACGACGCCTCAAGGGGCTTATCACATCTGTGTCCAAAATCGTCATTTATACATGTCAGTTGTGAAATCATTCTTATATGCATGTCGAGGCTTTTAAAACACGGTATATATGCGCTGATTGCAAACGAATCAAGCAAGATGGCTGTTTATAGCACGTGGTTTTTTTTTTATCACTTCAAAGCCATGGTTATTCGTAAGGGTTTTTCTGCAAGGATGTTTGGCTAGCAGTGTCCATAATGAGGTTGCTGCACACAAAATGTTTCAGTCTTGAAAGGGAAAAATGTCCGTTTTATTAATTGTAGAGAAAACCAGGAATGGGGATTATACCAGGACGAAGAAATTAAAACTGCAGTAAAACGTGGCTGCCAAGGTGCCCTTCAGGCGAGTACAATAGTGCAATTCACTCTGCAGGAACTTTTTTTTTCGTCACCTCTCATTTAAGTGATTTTTTTTTTTTTTTCAGTCACCCTCTCTTGCATAATTTTTTTCTTCTGGCTTTTTCCCCACCCCTCCCCATCACTTTTCTAATGGCCCATCCCTAATGTCGTCACGCAAGGATCCTCCCGGGGAGGCGCCGCTGTGGGGCTGTTTCGACGTGTCACAGAAATCTAAAACCCTCTTTTTTAATTTCGAAGCCACAAGTCAACACCATTTTATTACTACTCAGTGTGGCAGTGAATAGATCTTCTTGGTTCTTTTCTACTCCCAAATTGGCCTGAACTTGAAATGTTAGTCTTTGCAGCGTTGGATTTTCTACTTTTGTTTATTTACCGGAAACTTGTACGTCAATCGTCTTGAGTTTTACTTTAACACTGGCCATGCACTACAGACAGACGGATCTACGATGACAGACTGATTAATTTCTCCCGGCTACTGATTATTCCAATGGGCATTTATAGCCCATAGAAATTTACGGCTTATTCCCCTGTGGACATCTCAGCCAATTGGATAATTTTACTCGTCTGAAAAGAAGAGTCTTGGGGGTATTCCTGTCAGGCGTTACTTTTTAATTCGACTGATGAGGCAGATGAGCCGGATTCAAAATGTTTTCCAGTATTCATCGGTTGCTGTTGCTCTTTTGCTGTATTCTCCCGCTTGTTCAAAGTGGAGACAAACAAAAGAAGAAGCGAGATATGTTTATTCACACAAAACGTGTTACGATACATCATGCAGTAGTCTTTGACAGTTTGAAGGCACATCTTTGTGCAAACATAATTAAGGAATAATGTGGTTAGCTCAAAAGAAAGATGAACATGCTTGATCTTTATAAGGTGCTCTACTAAACAGCGTCTCACGGGAGCTTCGTTGGATGCAAAGGTAGGTTTGAAAGAGGGCGGCTTATAAGTATTGAGACACTTATTAGAATAGAGATGCTTATGAAGAAAAATGTCAGTAAAAGGGCGCTAAGACGCTTAGTAGTGAGGGGACGATTATTCGAAGGAAGGCACTAATTAGACTATGCCATGCTGTGTTCAATTTGTGAGTGATCTCTCAAGAGTCAGCTTTTATATGAATATGCAAAGAAAAGGAATGTAATAGGTTTAATTACAACTATAATTAATCGCAAAGCATAGCCGGTTAATGTTTTATTACTTCAATAAAAAGAAAAAAAAATTAACGGACAAAAAGCCAACTCTAAACGGTTTTGAGAATATACTAGAGACGTATTCAGTCATGAGACTGAGGAAGCAAATAAAGATCGAGCGGCACGCGAATTTTGTTTTTGGACACTTCAGTTATAGGAAAGTCTCAGTAATTTGGGTAATATTTCTGGATTTGTTTGCAGTTCTGATACTATTTTATCTTTTTTTTTTCTTACAAAACCACTGTCAACCACAACCAGTAAAAAACCGTCAGGTTGTGTAGATACCAACTGAATTGGAAGCATTCTGAATAAATGTGTTTTAATTGACAATGTCAAGGCTTAACGACTTTCTACGAATCATTTTGTGCTTCCAAAAAGAAAAAATTACTCAACAGTTAAACTCATCCAAGTTATCCCGAACTTTAAAAAGTTTAAAGTCCAAGACGTTTTACAATAATCCACGATTTAGTGTGCAACAGAGGGTAGTATCTTAACAAAATCCAGTACAAAGCCGGTGACGTCATTCCCCGTGTCTACTCCTTTTTGTACCATGGAAAAGAGAAGCCAGGAAAGTTTTTTTTTCAATTTTTGATTATAGACTTTGTCCATTTATTTAAAATTCAATATACAGCTACTCATCTCAATTAAATTAGTTATTTTGAAGAAAATACTATGAAGAAAAACTTGACATTGTATTAGCACATCGCAAACAGACATCCACGTACAGTTCTTGGATGTTTTGACAAAAGAACTAAGCTACCTTAAGGCGGGGGTCTACATGAAGGCCGTGTTTTGGCTGGGTGTTATGATTTTAATGCAAATATCTCGTTTACGTTTCAAGCAGTCAAGAATCTCTCTGCTCATCCCACATATATGTTTTGGGTTGTTTTGTAAATTTTTTCGTGATTTTTAGGTATATTTGGGGATTAGTAAAATTTATGGAAATTTTGAAGATTTGGTGTTGTTTTAAAATTAGAATTTGAAGTTAAAAATTGGTAAATGTACACCAAACAGTTGTCCACCAACCTGGGGTTCAACTGTCTGGTGGTGTTCCATAACCTTCTGTCTTTTTTTTCCTTTTAATCCCTGTTTAAACTTCCTAAAATTTCACTTAAATTCAGGTAAAACCCCGCCTTAAGCTACCGTGTAAGAACACTTTGAAAATGTTGATTTCGTCATGATATATCCGTGAGCAGCTGGATACTGCAAAGTGTTTTTTTTATGAAATAGAATGCTAGTGCGCTTGAGAAAGGGAGCGATTTCTTGAAGGGAAGGGGGAGGGGAGTTTGTTGTTCTGGAAAATTGAGGGAGGGGTCTTTGGCAGAGATCTCCCAAGGTAGGTCGCAGGCTATCTATTACACATTAAACACCATCGCGCAATTTACTCCGCCTTTTCTTTGATAGGTTAGTCAAACAAAAAGAACATCAGCATATAGAAGCCTTTCAGAATAATTACATACCCCAGGAAATATCTGTGTATCCTCCAAACACGTATTGGTCTTTCTTGATGATGGTAACTGTTCTGCCCTTACCGTCACAGTTGCTGTGGAAGGTACTTGCCGACCAGCCATGATTGGTGGCGCGGTAACACAGCTTCCAATATAAATGCGAACCAGTCACTGGTTCCATAAATTGACTGAAGTATCTTGCGAAACGTTCATTGCTTTGTAAAATATTTGACTGTATTTTCATTCCTAAACGAAATAACGGACGTTCCACTTAGTAAAGTTTTGTCGTCGAGCCATCAATATTTCCTTTCTTTCACTTAAGCGTGCACTCCCCACCAAAATACAGAAAGATTGTAAACCGACCAGTTTAGTTTAGTCATTACTGTAATAACATGATCTAAAATTCGATATCAAACAGCATTTGATGTAGTTGTATCTGATGTAGCTGTTAGCTTTATAACATAAATAACTCGTGTTAATTCTTGTTTATTTATTTTATTCTATTTCTTACAATATACGGTTAAAAGGCCAAAAGATAATCTGTAAGGGGTCCCAAACCCCATATAAAGACAGATCACCAATGAACTAATATAAATACACACACACAAAAAAATAATCAATTGGAAGACTGCATTAAGACATGAAAGAAAAAATACTAAATACTTAAAAATCACAATGAAATTTCTTAACTTTAGACATAAAAATATTTACATTATCAGAGCAACGAATATCTAAAGGTAGTCGATGCCACATGTCAGTTATTCGTTGGAAAAAACCATACTTCAAGATATTAGTTCTAGCGTATTTCTTCTTTAAAGTTAAAAAGTCCTTAGACCTAAGTTAAAATTAAATTTTGACAAATTTGAGAAATTCTGAGTGGAAAATCTGTGATTTTACTGACGTCAAAATTAATGTTGCCATGAAGTACTTTATATAAGAAAGTGACATCAGTCAGTAATCTCTTCTCCAATGACATGAGGTTTAACTTCTTCAAACGAATGTCATAGGGATCAACGTTCTTTAAGATAAGTTTACTTACTAAATTACATCGATTATGTTATGATAATCAGTTACATCGGTAATGCAGTCAGGGCGGGAGAAATGGGCAAATTGCTGGAGATCATGTGAACAAAGTGTTCCATCAACGTCATCATCGAGCGAACAAACGTGGAGTCAGCCCACAACGATTGCAAATTGAGTTTATAAGATCTGCATTAATTTGACCTCCTAATTACGTCCCTCTCGTCAAAAAATTAAGGTGAAATCCAAGAAAAGGCGAGAAACGTACAAGCAACGCTAGCAAATGTTTAAATCAATTTTTTTTTGACAAATACCATCATTAATCCCTCTTACCAATACACGAAGGTTGAACTCCTGACCAAGTACCATTCGTCAAGCAGTAACGTTCTGAGGATCCTTTTAACCAGTAACCAGGATTGCAAGTGAAGGAAATATGTTTTCCTTCCCAATAGTGCTGTCCGTGGACTAAACCGTGCTTCAGGTTTCCCAACGGAGGACAAGCTTTGAAGCCTATATTTAAACCATGGAAGCAAACAAGATCTACTCAACCAAAACAGTGTTAGCAAAGTCAACTCTTCAATCTCCGTCACGTCTTGTTGGTTTTGTTCTCTTTGTTGTTGTGGTTGTCGTTTTTAATTAATTAATTGATTTATTAATTGATTAATTAATTGATTTATTAATTAATTAATCGATTTATTAATTAATTAATTGATTTATTAATTAATTAATTGATTTATTTATTTTAACGCAGGTTATAGGGTCCCCGTTTCTGAGATTGTGATTAAATTTGCCGGTCAACATGAATCCTTTGGCTAAAAGTAAAACCCAACTGCCTGGCGTAATAAGGTATGGAATCAAGTTACTTACATGAAGGCTGTATACCACTCCAGTTACCAGAAGGCAGACATTTTCTAGTGGTTGGTCCAATCAAGCGATATCCCGGATGACAAATGAATGACACAAATTCCCCAGTCCAGTATCGTAATCCGTGTTTTTGTCCGTTTAATGGAGAACCAGGATCAAGACAATTCACTAAGACTTAAAAGAAAAAATTGAATCGTTAAACCAGAGAGCTACCATTCTTACAGGATTTACGTTGAAGTCGAGACCAAACCTCTAAGTGGTGTTTTAAAATTGGTTAAGGTCTCTATTTTTCCTAGCGCTTTGGCACTGATATCTACTCTCTATCACGGGATAAGCGAGGAGGGATGGTTATTTTTTTTCACATCCAAAGAGCGCCTTTACTAACACTTGAAAAATGTAGTATTGAAATCTCTATATCTACCAGAAGGTTCGCCCTAAAATTTCTGCCCTAAATAGTTTAAAACCCACCAAAACGAACTTTGTACCTTCACGTCATTAAAATAGGTATACGTGATATTTTGCAAGGTCCTCACCTTAAACCTCTGTCTAACTAACATTTTGTTTTTCCTTTTCAACTCGACCCTTTTATATACTCGGAAAAAAAAAAGAAAAAAAAAAGACAGCTTTCGCGCGGAACCTGGCTGTATTGTCCATTTTAGTGCTTACCCTTCCCTTCCCCAGTGATATTTCTACAAAGAAGGATCAACTAGCTGTGCGTTTAGTCTTTCATTTACGCTTTGCTGGGATGTTTTAAAAAGAAACTTTGTTGAATTATAACCACAAGTACATAAATTATATGGCAACTGGGCACATGACCTCTTGACTGATGCTCTATATTGGCGGTAATTTCCTAAAAAAAAAAAATGGATGAAAAATAAATGTTCCTTATCGATGATACAGAAAATGAGCACCTTGATTTCTATCACCATTTACAGAAAAAATGAAAATAAAATGTTTACACACTTAGAGAAGTGCTATTTTCCGCTGTCCCATTCTTGTCATTCTCAAACAGACATGTGTAGATCCCAGCGTCTCTTGGCTTGAAGCGATGAATAACCAATGTACTTTTTATCAAATCATTGTCCTCGTGCGCCGCCGTAGAAATTAAGCTACCATCCTTGAACCATTTGACTTTAGGTAGCGGCAAGCCACTAGCAGAGCAATTCAACTTGACTGAATCACCAACATTCTGCACTCTGATTTCACTGGGAGGGTTTAACACTATGTGCGGATTCACTTAAAAAAAACAAAAAACAAAAAACAAAAAAATCAGAACAAAAAGATAAAAAGCGACAAGAGGAAACGCAAGCATTACTGGCGAGGTGTCCTTTGTGAACATTTTCATGTCATGAGGAGCTTAACCTGCAAAAAAAAAAGTATGTCCAGGCGATCTTTTAATCTTGTACACGACTTGTCATCGCATGCCAGGAAACGTATTATGAAACGGGATCCAATGCGTGTTTTATTTGCCACGCGGTTTTGCCTTTATGATTATGCATGTTTGAAGCCCGTGATGCGTTTGTTGCACCTTCATTACGGCATTTTCCTTTCTAAACCACCAGAATAGCTCACTGTGAGACTTCAAAGAGATTGTTCTCATTTCATGATATTTTTCTGTATGGAAACATTGCCAACAGCGTCGCGTCAGGGAAGCTGGTTTGTACCACAGTGTATTAGAATTATGACCCGTTAGTATCCACTGTGATAAAAAACAAACAAACAAACAAACAAACAAAACATTTGTATGAATGCCAAGCAAAATTGGTATTTACTAGATCATTTGTGTTAAGTCTTGCATAAGGAAATCTGGATACATGGAGGCCGACGCTTTCGATTGATGAACATGACTTCGAGTATATTCCACTGTATGTTTTCGTTTGAGGCACATTCTTGTGTTACAATGATTGCAAGATCGCAGTTTGCCCTACAATATTTTCCTAGCCATATAGCAAGTATAGACCATTGCGAATCCTAAAAGCAGCGTCTTACAATAAATGACGTTTTCTTGTCAAGAAAACGAGGTATTCGGTGTTTCCGTGTCTCGGTGATAATTGCTCATGTCGACCTAAATTTTTTTTTGGCGGGAAATTCGAGGTTGCGAAAACTGCGCGGCATTACCATCAATCCTCCGATCTACGATGTGATGGAACAAGGAGAAAACTGCAATGGTAAGTTGCATTGGAATTCTTTAATATACCGTTATCGGTGAGTTTTCATATTTGCGTACTTATCAAGCCTAAACCAGAGAAGAGAGTTCTGTAGAGAACTATTGTCATGTGTCGCAATGAAGCGAATTATTTGATTCACTAAGCACTAACTCGGCTTAACTTATTCTGCCTTACTTAGGTAGTTAGTTTTTTAATCGTATCTATAACAAAATTCTCGATCGTGATTGGTTCTCCGCGCGCCTATTTGCCTCGTAGTCGCCGCGCAGTCACGTGGGTGTCCAATTAAAGGTATTCAATTTGAACTTTTTGTAATTGACACCTGCAATTGGATACCCACGTGATTTGCACGTCAATTGCGCGCGCTTTTATGGCTTTAGTTGGAATGTTTCCTACATTTTTTATAACTTATGAAACGTGCTGCATACGTTTTCGCTCAAAAGAGGTCCTCAAAAGACATTTGTTATTCCGGAATTTGTTATAGACACGATTAATTAGGGAGTAATCGCGGTCATAATTTCAAATCGGCCTCGCGCTCCGCGCTCGTACGATTTTGAAATTACTCGCGTGATTACTCCCTGAATTGCACTCCACGACGTCCAGTTACTACTACTTATTGAACTGTTGTTATCTGTCGAGCAGAATATTAACGTCGCGCTCTAGTTTATTCTGTTTTACTTGGGTAGTCAGTTCTTTATCGAACTGTTGTTATCTGTTGAGTAGCATATCAACGTTAACCTTTCCTACTTTATTATTATTATTTTTTTTTCACCCACTTGCACCCTAGCATTTATTTATTTATTCATTTATTTATTTATTCACTGAAAATCAATTACACAGATGATCAAATTAAAACTTCAAAAATAAAACTTCCTTTGAGAAGTCCGTATTGCGAGTTGTTTCTATGCTTTGAGAAAGGACTCATCTTGCTTAACATGATATCTGCCCCTTTTTTCTCTCTATAGGGAAGCTGGTCTGCTAGCGGTAGTTGTTCCTCAAACACTACGTTGTCATCTTACATTAGTCATAGATGTTAACTTGAGACTTTGGAACGTTTTTGAGGCCATTTTATGGCTTCGAAAAGCGGGACTTCAAACGGGATGTTTGACGAGTCAGCTGAAAGGTCTCTGATGAGTCCCTTGGTAGGGACGAAACATACGTACGTAAGGCTAGCAATTGTAATAAAAATTCTCACACTTTTTTTCATTTTATGGAAGCGTGAATAAAAATATACAAGGCGAATAAAACATGACTCGCGCACATGTAAAAATGTAATGTTTCACGAAAAATGGTACGTGTCGTCGTTTATTACCCTCTTGCCATCGTATGTTGCTCCTATGTACTCGTATGTATCCGTATGTTACTCGTATGCACTCGTATGCTCCTCGTATGTACTCGTATGTTACTTGTATATCACTCGTATGTATTCGCATGTCACTTTTATATGTACTCGTGGGTACTCGTATGTATACGTATGTTACTCGTATGTACTCGTGTGGTGTTTTGGTCACGAACATTTTTTTTTTTTTTCGAGAGGCAAAGCTCGTCATGAAATCAATCACAGATAACCGTATCGTATAAACTCTTGTTCTTACGCCATCGTAGCTTGATTAAGAATATAACACAAACAGCAGTTATAAACATTAGCTAACATTGTATTTTAACGCATTTTAGCTTATAGAACTTGTATACTGGCATACGAAACGTCAAGTTGCGTATCAAAATTAGTTGGAATACAATGTTTATCACCGCTGTTTGTGTTATATTTTTTTACAAGTGACCGTGCTTGACACCGAGAAGAGAGTTGAAAATACGACGCGAAGCGCAGTATTTTTGATAGGCTTTTCTCGATTGTGCTAGCATAATGTCTGGCATAATTTAGCAAACTGAGCATAATATTTAGCCCTCATCTTAATTTAGCTCAGCTAGCATAATCTGACTTTTCTGACATTCACGAAATGACGTCATTTCGTTTTGAATATATTTCCTTTTACTTGTTCTGTTTCTGAAACTTCTGTTGCAGTTATCTCAAGGCCGCCTAGGCCCCGCGCATACGGCTTGGTAGTGATCGGCTCTAAGATCTCAGATGGTGTCTTTGTCATCAATCTGAGCACTTTCCAAGTTTCAGTTCAGATAGTTCAACAGCTTACAATGTCGCACAGATATTTTCAATTCCTTGGGAGCGTTTATTGAAACCGTCTTTAAAAGCGAATTAACCCAATTCAAACCTCCAGTAGTACAAGGGTTGGGGGGTTGATGGAACTCCTCCCCTAGGTTTTCGCTCTGTTGAGGCACAAAGAAATAAAACTACATAGATTAGATAGCTCTTAGCTTGCTCTACAAGGTGATACCATTCTTGTTAATTATGACGTCATATGACCCGCCATCTTGGATCCGCCATCTTGGATTTCACTATTTTCTTAAAAAGTCAAGAAATAACGGAAATTACTGCAAAATCAATCAAGCCAGAATGCTTACAAATGTAGAAAATGGCGGTTGCAAACAGCGTTATTCCTTGTTTTGTCTTTATTCATCCTGTTCCGTCTTTGTTTCGCTTAGAAACCAATTAAGTAGAATAAATTGGGTGCGAGAAGCATAATTTGGAGAAACGAGCATACTTCGGGAATAATTTCCAGAAAAGTTGAGAGTGCTAGGGGCATAAAACGCCAGGTTTACAAGCACAATCGACAAAAGCCTAATTTATGACGAGCTTCGAGGTGTTTGGAAATGTGGTCAAACACTGTCTTGAGTCTCTGATACATTTTTTCAATTCGGCGAAACTAAAACTAAGGAGAAAACGGAGAAACAAAATCGTAGATAACTATGCTAAATTAAGATTAAGATATCCAAACACCGTGAAAAAGTTTAACTCTAAGCTTACCAACATCTTTCACATTTATCCATGTTACCGCTATGACGCTCCCAAGTTGATTCTCTCCTTCACATAGGTAAGCACCACCGTCGTCCTCTGTTGTGTTTTTTATCGTAAGTTTGTGACCATCAATAACATGTCTGTTAATTGGAAGTTGTTTGAGTGATCTTGTCCATTTGACCTCAGGGAAGGGGTAACCAAATATGTCACATTTGAGAATTGCGTCCCAGTTCTTGTAAGCGGTCACTGAACTCTTTGGTTTTTTAACAAACTTTGCAGGTACTACAAATAGAATAGGAAGAGCAAACAACTGAAACAGATCAAGAGTCTCTAGAAAAAACTCATTTTGTTATTGTCTAACTTACATACAGTAAAAACGCTTTGTACCAAAAGAAGTAATGCACGTTTTGTACATTATTGTTGCCTACTGTCCACATGATATTGATTCTAGCTTCGCCTAAGACAGTTAAATCTACTTTTAAACAGCTCACGGTCACAAACTAGGCTAAAGTCCGAGTTATCTCACAGAAATCATCTGTGACAAAGACAGAGAGAAATGTTTCACGTGAGCTGTGGTATTAAAATTTCAATAATGGTATTAAATATTTTAGACACAATATAATTAACCTATCCACTTCAGAGTGCAGTCGATTTCCTTAGTGCAAGTCGCAGATAACGCATCAAGTTTACCTTTACTCTTTTGTGAATTGATGCTGAAACTAGGGCGAGACAGCTTGTTTCCAAATTTAATACTGAGGAAATTACCTTGGTTAATTTCAATGCTGTACTTACCTTTCACAGTTACGTTAACTGATAACTGAACTCTGCCCAACAGATTCTCGGCTGTACAAGTGTAGACGCCGTGATCTTCATATAATATATTCTTTATTTCCAAATGTCTTCTCTTAAACTGTTTTTTTTCTTCTTCTATCACGTGACCATCTTTGTACCACGTGATTACTGGCGGTGGGAACCCAGTTGCTTTGCAAGGTAGTGTCACGTCTTGTTTTTCTTTCACCGTCATGAAAGGAGAAGGCTTTGTAACAAAGTGTGGTGATTCTGTAAACATTGTAAAGCAGATGGCTCTTGATGTGACTCATTGGTAACTTTAGAAATGGTAAGGTGGCGTGGTTGCGGGGCTTTGAACACTGGATCGGCGATCTGATTCAAAGGCTTTGTTTCAAACACCAACATAATTTGCAGTTAACCGACAGGTGATTCTTACTGTAGCGTACATCATCGAGTTACAATGCACGCTGGGAGTTTGGAGGGGACGAAACGAACGTTAGAATCATGGCGAATTCAGGCGAAACCCCTGATCAATTTCGAGACGAGGCTAAATCTTCCTATGTTTTCTCCGATTCTTATTGGTTTCAATTAATCACCTGACGCGATTGTGTTCATCGACGGAGAGACACTATTAGTCTTTATAATCCATCAATATTTTCGCCCGCTCGCGATTGGTCTAAACACGTCACGTGACCGAATATTCCCCAGCTAATATCCCAGAATATTCCCCAATTTTCAAAACTGCACGTGTTGCAAAAAGGATTTGAAGGACAATAAACACAATAGCCTCCATTTTGGCGAAAATATGCTTGGATATTTGTCCGTGGACAATATCTGTTCCTCGAAGCTCACAGTTTCGCTTCTCGGAACAGATAATGTCCGCGGACAAATTTCCTAGCATATTTTCGCGCCAAATGGAGGCTATTGCTTATATATCGGCCCATTGTTCCCGTCCGAGGAAAAGATCCAGATAGATAATACTCGTCCGTGACAATTTTTTCCGTAAACAAGCGGGCTTGTAGAAAATAATCAATTGAAATTGTATTAAGTGGATTTTTGTCTGTTTTCTTTTTCAAATTTTACATTTGCCTTTAACGGCTTTCATCTATTAATGAAACCCGGCTGGTGTGCAATTTAGTATAAATTATTAAAGCCACACCCGCACAGGGGGAGGGGCAGATCTAACAGTACCAGCAAGGATATTTATATGAGTAACAACATTGTAACCCCCCCCCCCCCCACCCTCCCCTTTGCTGGGTAGATACAGGAAACAGAAACAAACCACTGATTATGGTGGCAAAACATGGGTGGCAGGGAAGACCGAGCCTATCTCCCCTAGAGTAGCGGCGTCCTTAGGGGAACCTATGTTACTAAGGGGACCAGAAGAGGGGTTCCCCTCTGGGAGGACAATAGGTCATATGGTACGATGGCACCATCCTGGAGAGATCCGGACCTATTTCCTTGGAAGTAACATAGGATGGACCAGAAGAGGGGGTGCCCCTCTGGGAGGACAATAGGTGAGATGGTACGATGACACCATCCTGGAGAGATCCGGACCTATTTCCTTGGAAGTAACATAGGATGGACCGGAAGAGGGGGTGCCCCTCTGGGAGGACAATAGGTCAGATGGTACGATGACACCATCCTGGAGAGATCCGGACCTATTTCCTTGGAAGTAACATAGGATGGACCAGAAGAGGGGGTGCCCCTCTGGGAGGACAATAGGTCAGATGGTACGATGACACCATCCTGGAGAGATCCAGACCTATTTCCAAGGGTGACCACAGCACTTACTGTGGGGCAAAGTGCAGCCTAGGTTGCACTTCCCTGCCACCAAAAAACCTTGAACTGGCGCGCGGAAGAAAATTTAGTGGTGAACAATAAAGACAATAGAATGCTTATGTCTCGGAAGTATCGGTCTGATAGTTACCCCTTGGAAACTTGATGTTCTTAAAACTAGCATATTTGCCCTCGAAGCTTCGCTTCTCGGGCAAATATTTGTGTTAAAAGCATCAAACTCCCGCGGGACAACTATCAGCCGATAGTTCCTCCACAGAAACACTTTATTGTCAAAATATGTGTATGTCACAAATGTTCGGCGGCGAGAAATATTATCTTGAATATCTACTTTGATCCATACTGATAAAATTTGGAAGCTAATTCCAAACTTACTTTAAACAACTACTGTCAATAATTTTACGAAACTTATTCTTTTCCTTCTTCTCTTTTAAAGAATTTAATTTTGAAACTAAATAAAGCCTGATGTAAACAAAAGAAAAAGGTGATGACGACTTCACAAACATGGGCACTCATGGATCGAAATTATCAGCCACGCTCTTATGGTTGAAACTCGAACAGCAGCTGGAAATTTGCGTTTCTTTAATTAATCACAGTCATCAATCATCACACCACACTACTGCTTTAATTCTAGGACATACGATTTTACCTAACTGACGTCCATTACTGGGACTTCCTTCACGTTGTGTTGATTTACCAGACGGGCCTGCAGGTCCGGGGGATCCTGGTAATCCTCTACTGCCTCGTTTTCCCTGGGGTCCAGGGGGACCCGTGGTTCCCTTTCTTCCTCTTTTACCACTTGGTCCTTGAGGGCCTTGGGGACCAGTAGGTCCAGGTGAACCGGGGGCGCCTGGTAACCCTCGAGGTCCTTTATGGCATGATGGAATTAATTAGGAGTTCCGTAAGATGATACTTTAACAAGGTTTTGTATTTCATCACGTCATCACACGTCCATCTAACAGGTAATTTCGTGACTCGTGAAAGTTATTGACAGTGGACAAATCTAGGGAACTTACGCTTCATCTCAGAGGCAGCAATAACATTTGCCAGCAAGTTTTGCAGGACTCCATTATCGATTTATCAAGTTATAATAGTGTTCTAAATATTACCTTTCTCGGTTTTGTTTTGTTTGTTTGTTTCCTTTTAGCAAACAATTTTTCCCTGCAGCTTAATTGGCCAAAAAGAGCAGCTGCTCAAAAATTTTGAAGACAACGAATGTCCCAGCCCATAGTCACTAATCCGGACACCACTCCCCATCCACCTACGTTTAAAAACATTTTATGTAGTTCTTAATCACTCTCACTCTCAATCAGTCTGAAACCGTCATTTTTCTGTCTATTGTTGTTGTTGTTGTTGTTGTTTTTTTTTTTTCACAGATAAGGATACCCCTTAAGACCTTTCAAGGGATACAATACAGTTTTAAGTCATTGGTAGTTGAAACCAAGAGAAACTCCCGCTGTATTTTGGGCCACTTGGCCCGTAAAAAGATTTAGAATTTACCCAGTCAATTTTAAATCTCACCTTGCATGCAGGCCATCCTTTCCTGACTACTTTTCTTTGTCACGTTCTGTTGAGTGAAATTATGAAATAGTCTTTCAAGTTGTTTTGAAGTTACCATAGGTTAATCAATTGAAAGCTCTTTATAGCTTTTTGCTCTTTCCAGCAGCTAACATCCAAAAAAGAAACTGATTAGAAAGCGATAACATATAGATTTAGCCAAGCCTAAAACAGAGCCCCCGGGCCGGTTGTTTAAAGCCCGATTAATCTAACCCTGGATAAGCGAGAAACTTGATTTGAGTTTTGTAAGTTTATATATATATTTATATATTGTTTGGCCTTCTCTTTTAAGTTTGAGTAATCTCAAACTACGCAAAACATAAGTAGTGAAAATAGCATTTATACAAGAAAAATTTATACTTCATTTTTACTTCTAATCTTGGGTTAGTGTTAACCGGCTTCAGAAAAACCTGGCCCTGATTACAACAAGTTAGAGCCTCGCTTAAGACCGCGATCCAATCGAAATCCAGTACTTGGTCAGCATTTGTAGACCCGACTCGCGCGATCGAGAGACCATCGGAAATCAAGCCTAAAAACAAAAAAACTTAAATGAGAGCGTTTCTGTTATTATTATTTCCTCGAGTGCACCCTAAAGGATACTTTGACACCTAAAAATCGTGACGTTTCGTCACCAACACCCCTAAGTGAGACCAGAATCCTTGATTTGTACCCGAGACGACAAGCATGCCCGACCTTTTCATATAGGAGTCCTCCCCCGGTTTCGACCATCAGCCGTCTAAGGCCGTTTTACAGTCGCTTGCAACGTGTGAAGTAAATTATTTTCGAGAGGTAGGAGGTATAACGATTTCTTCATTGTAAGGAAAATACTTATGGTTGTTCCTTAGCGATTCGATTCAGGGAAAGTCTTCGTGTTTTTTCCTTCACATGAAGAAGAAAAGGAAAAATAATCAGTAGTCAACACTAAGTCTCGAACTCCCCATGTCTCGCATGGCGAGTCAACGCGTATCACACGGCGCTCATTGTACATCAGTTGCTGAAAGGGGCAAAGTATTAAAGGAGAAGGTCATTCCGAAAAACGTAGATTTTTTTGTCAACGCTAATAAAAACCTTGCTCTAAGTTTAGCCTCTCACCGAAGTTTCAGCTTCTAAAGTGCAGGTGTTCCTTGTGAAATTCGTCTCCAAATTCGAACATCGTTGCCGCCATTTTGAACAGTACTCAGCAGCCAGGCCGCGTTTTCGTGACGTAATTCCGTCCGAGAGATGGCTTTCGAAGAGGCTTTTAACTACCACTCTGCGTTATGGCTGCTCTTTAGCCAAATTATTTTGAGCCAAACATGCTCCAAACTCCGCAATGATAGCATCGAAGATAGTGAAGTGGAAAATCGCTTGGAAAAAATGGATTTTGCTGACCTGGTGAAGGATGCCAAGTCAGTTGCAGGTTTTTCTCCTTGCCGCCAATTTCGAGTCGGACCGAATGACGTCACATAAACAGGGCCTGGCTGCCAGGACAGTTTCAAAATGGCGGCCTTCGAAGTCGATCTTTCAAGATGAATATCTTCAGGATAGCGGACACTTCAGAGGCCGGAACTTCAGTGAGCTGAATGTTTACTTGCTATAGGCGAAGACTGAAAAAGTAAGCTTTCTGGAGTGACCTCCTTTAATAATTTATTTATGTACCGCAGGCTCAAGTGTTTCGCACAATGTATACCTCACTTTTGACCAAACAAAATGATCTTTCCATTTTTGACTACAGCACAAGGAAGACATGTACATACACATGTAATGTAAAACGTATAGGCAAGCCTGAGTAACAAACAGTTTCTTAATCTTGAACTTTTTTATTTTGCAAATATCAAAACACACCCTTGAATGGAAAAAGGCTTTATGGGCTTGTTCGAGAACTAGACTGCCCTCACATCACAAGTAGCTCCTTAATGAGCAATGCCTCACAACACCCTTTCATAATTTATTTTCCAAGTTCAGTGGCTCAAAGCCACTTTCATTTATATCTATGTATGCGTGTGGTTCTCTTCCTATATTTATGATGCTCCGCTTGGCACCCCTTCGGGCCTCCGAATCTCCGCTAAAAATAATTGCCTTGTCCTCAAGGAAATCACAGAAAAACAGTCAAAAAATACACATAGGTTATACGAATAGCCTGTGATTTAGTTGGAAGAGGTCTTTGTGGCCAAGTTTTGAGGCAATTTAGGAAAAAAAAACAAAAATTCCAGTACTTTTAAGCACTTTGATCCGTTATGACTACCACTATACATCAGCTTATACCGCAATAACGGTGTCAACGAATTCCAAGTGAACATTATTGATTAATTTAACATGCTTCGGTCATGTTTTTAACACAACAACATAACAGCACGATATCATAGTATCGGTATGACCTGTGAAAAACTTTCTTAATTTTGCGAGCCCGGTGATTCATATAGAGAAACTATTTTCAGAGGCTGTTGATCTCCTTGATTACAAGCTTTAGTTCAGTTTGCGAATTGACAATTCGTCTAAAATTAAAATTCGCTCAACGTTTTTTAATGCGTCTTACTTCCGTGTTTACCAAGCCCGGGTAAATACGGTCAATGGCGGTGTTTAAAGAGCAAAAAGTTTCAGATAACCGTTTAACACGCATTTTTATTGGTGATACTACACTATTTGACCCCCTTCCCCCCCCCCGGCCCCCTTCACCCTCAATTCCCTTCGAATTGTGACTTACTGATGTCGTTGTTCTCAGATGCTACATTTTATCAGGAAGGTAAAAATGCAATTCTTTCTTTACTTTGAAGGAAGAGCTAATGTTAGAATCATCATAAATAAATGACTATATATGTCTAGCATTCATAAGTACCCTTATCACCGCGACTCAGTCTAAACGTGGCCCAAAGCCGACGTACATAAAAGTTTAAATGAATGTAAATATTTTTCTCCTCTACTATCTTATCCTTTAGCATTTTTCGGGGTCTGCAGCTCAATTGTGACTGTTTGTACTGTTTATCAGTCATGTTTTCAGAAATCCAGTTATATACTTCTAATATAGCTATAGCTTACCGTAGTCGTTAATTTCACTAGCAGAAAAAGTCTAGTGAGCGAAATAATTAGTTAAATATATGAATTTCAGCAAAAAGTTTTAGTACCGTCTGTCAGCATTTGGAACGCGGAAGTAATCACACAAACTAAATAAGTTCAATATACATGTATAAAGAACATGCAACTTACACTTCGATGCACATTCAAGTTTAAACAGGCGCTGCATTTGCGGCACATAGATGGATTATCGACAGCTCTTTTGGCGACAATGTTCGTCTTTTGCGACCCACTTAGAGGGAATTGCGTAGATGTTGGTTTAACAATCAAGCCATCAGCAAGCCGATATGGACTATTTGTAGCCAGCAAATCCTGTTCAACTGCTGTTAAACGAGAATCAAATCGATTCAAAGAATAGCAAGTGAAACCAAGTGAAGCCAACGTCAGAATTAAATTGAATGACAAGCCAAAGAGGACAACAGACGATCCCTTTGCTCCCTTGGTCTCCATGTTCGCTTATTTCCTTGTACAAGAGATTGAACGACTGACCGATGCTTTAGCTTACTTATATCGCTGAGAATACTCAAAGGAATGTTGACCTTGCCTGAATATCGTTACAGTTTTAGTTGGCATTTCCGCTCTATTGAGGCACTAACAGCTAACGCTTTGGGAAGAGGTGCAATCAGAGCTGGACTAATCTGATACCATAATTATTAGTTTGTTCACCTTCCGTGGAAACTAAACGATGAAAAGCTTTTACGGTGTTTTGTTCTGCACGTACAATTTCATAGTAAATCAGCGAGTCAAGTCGTGTTTGCTAATGACCAGTACTAGCTGACTGTTTTAATTCGTTGTCACTTCTGGAGGTTAAAGCGACAAATGATGTCCAAAGAGCAGCAAGTTCCAGATAACTGTTAAACAGCCATTGTTATTGATGAAACTTCCTTGTTAGCTAACTTGACTCAGTAATAAACGATGTGCTTTAATATAGTTCGCAAGTTCCCTTTTAACATATTTCCCGATGTTGTTGTTTTCCGATGCTACAGAATAGTAGAAAGAGAAAATGTTATTCTTGTTTTCTTTTATTTCTATGAAGAGTTTAAGATTATGAATGACGAAAGCTGGAGTATTAGAACCATAATTTGCTTTTAATAATATTTCCTGCTGAATACGTGCAGGTATTAAGCTAACAGAATTATGTTCACGTATGCGGAACTGGAACAAAGTTCAACTCATTTCACTAGAGTTTATGTTAACAAGAAAAGAAAAAAGATCAAAATCGCTTGAAGATATAATCATACTAATAAACCCAGTGCCGTGTAGCATTTTGTGTGCTGATGTTGTATGTTAGCTTCCTGATGGAAGAAAATAAGGCCCCGTTACTCTGTAACTGAACTCAGCTCGTGAATAGAATGATTTCATTGAATCTTATGTTGCATCTTAGCGTAGTATTTATACTGGTTTTGTTTTTGATGTATTTGTTATTCAATTTCGTTATGTTATCGACTCGGCATCGATTTGTCTGCCTCTTGTAGGTTTTGACCATTTATTACGCAACTATTTCTGCTAAATTAATAGAAATCCGTTTTATTGTTGTTTCAGTTTACGATCCTTTATTTTGAAGCAATAAATCGCCAATAATCGTCGACCTATAAAGTGGTCCCATCCACTAGTCTGTAGTGACACGCATAAAGTTCTTTTCTTTTCTTCTCGTTTTGAAACTCGTCAGTCGCTGCAAGCGCAACACGCCCTGAATATGGAGGGCTAGATGGAAAACGCAAGGCCGGAAACCCGGTCTACGTGGTAAGGGGTCCCAGGGTATGAGGTCCCGGGGTGTGGAAAAAACAGGTTCTGGTGAAAAAACACGGGGTCTGCGCTGAGAACATATCAAGAGGTTCCATTTTATTTTCGCCAAAAAATAAGTTTTCTTCACTAAAATGAGAAGTCGAAATTTTGTTAGTCTAAATAACTCTTTACACGAGACACGTTTCTCAATCCTGAAAACAAAAAAAAACAAAAAAGGAATTAAACATTTCGTGAGGGAAAAAAAAAAAAAAAAAAAAAAA